GCCTAAACTGCTGTACGGATCTCGATAAAATATAGGCTGTTTATTTTTTATTAAACGCGAACGATTGATTATCTTAAACTGTGTTCTGGGTGAATCCTATCGTTTCTCAAATTTGTCAGAAAATTTTAATTTACAGTTCAATTTTAAATTTTATTTTAGTTGCCTTTAGACGACAAAAGCAACGAATGTTAATTTTATAATATAGTGTTATTGTATGTACAGGACAACGTGAACCGCAAGGTGGTGCTGGAGCTGCTGGTGGCGCACGCGCGGCGCTCCGCCGGCAGGCAGTTCGTGTTCCTCACGCCGCAGGACGCCTCCGCCGTCACCGCCTCGCCCCACCTCACCATACACATGTACCACACTTTGTATAACTCACTGTAATAGAGGGGTAGGCTCTCTGCCTACCCCTCTATTAACCTATAATTTGTTCGATTCATGTTACTGACAATTATTTTTGTATGGAAAATGGAGAAAAACAAAAAAAATCAAATTCTTTTCTAGCCAAAGGGGAATGTTTTATTAGATTTAGTTCTTATTAGTATTAGTATTAAAATGAAATTTGTCTACTTTTTACAGGATGCCAGACCCACGACCGTAGCTCAAAGTCGAAACAATGAATGTTATTTTATTTTACAACTGTAATTGTATAGTTTGAATAAAAATCTTTAATTAAGTCATCAACACAGTTTTATTTAATACAAGACACCCGTGGCGACATGACGCGTTAGTGCGGGTGTCCGCGCGAGCAGGCCGCGCCGCACCTGAGATCACGCACTATACGGAATACACTGTACAACTTACAAGTACTTGTTACCTTCAAATAAATTGATATAAAAATAACTTATATTTACTAAGCGACCTAACTAATGGTTATATTATTTTCTGATATATATAAAGTAACAAAATCCATTTCTAAGTCTTATTTATAAGGTGGGCGTACACCTTCACGTATAAGCGTAATCGTTCAACTTACATTTAATGTTTCAATTCACTACATGTGAACCCAACGCCTGTGACGTCATCCCAACGTGACGTCAGAGTCCACTCAACTTACAACTATTGCAAACTTTACAATTTTTATAGAACTTCCACATAACTAAACTTTTCTCTAATGAAAACTGCACATGTGATTTAGCGAAAATAAAAAGCATTTTGTTCTTTGGAATACAGAGTATATGAAAATAAATAAAACACTAAGGGGAGATTCCAACGCGTCCGTCGGCGAGACGAGATGCCTTTAGCATGCTTCAAAAAACTTGTACAGACAAAATAAATATAAAACGATAAGGACCGGAGCTCAGATCAGTCAAAAAAAAAAATCTAAAGAAGAATAACATTATCTACAAGAAAGACATGCAAATCGATTCACTAATAGTTGAATTTGAATCATTTTAAATACACAGAAACTTAAGAGAATTCTTAAAATATGCCTTAGTTCAACTCTAAATCACTTCTGCAGTTAGCATTTTTAAAGAGCAAAGATCTCAACAACTTGTACATAACTTAAATTTAATATATTACATAGTAATGATGCAGTTACTTAAAATACATCACAAACACAAGGATAACCGTTTAAACAAAAAAAAATCTTACTGGATCACTCGACTTGCGAACAAAATAAATAAATATTACATACAAAAAACAAGTTTAGTGATTTTTTTAAACGGTTTTAATCTTCTGATTGTACTTAACATGCACGAATTTTAGATACAGAATAAATTTATTATACGCCATTAGGCACTCTTTGGCTAGATAGAGCTTCGCAAATTTACTTTTTTTAACTAATAAAATCAAAGATTTTTAAATAATTTTACTTATACCAGAGAGATTAAGAATATATATAGAGTAGGCATAGTTCAAAAACATTTTTGACATAATATCACTAAAGCTGGTATCCGATAATCAAGATAACAAACAAATAATTCAAATACTGAGAAGCATCTCGGCCTGTCTAAGACATTGAGATATTACCGTAAAAAAAAGTTACCGATGAAATGTTTCCTATGTCTAGTCTATATATTTCTTAAGTTTTTTTTATTGTAATTTCTTCATTTCGAGATAAATATCTTAAAGAGATACAAAGTTTTCACTTCCATATAGATGTTCACTAAAAAGCGGCCATCGTGTCATTACAACTAGAAATTTTTTATCTCAGGAACATTATTGAAAAAAGTACTTCCTATACTTATAAAAACTTGTTACATTTGAAATAAATAAATAAATAACAACCTTCTGATTATGGCATTAAAGAAATACAACGGATTTTCAATTAAATTTGAAATATGTATAAATAATAGATTAACTTATTAAAACTTTCGTGAGACATATATATGATTTATGAACAATAACACCATCAACTCTTCAGTTTGGAGTTCGTCTCCGCCGACGGACAGCGTCCCCCCCGCAACCCCCGCGATAGCGAATAAAGCCCGTAAACTCACCCTGAAGAACCCCCTACGGGTTTGAAACTGGTCGTTGCTACACCGAAAGTTCCCACGTGAGTTTCAGCCGTGTTATAAACCATATAAAATAATAGATTGTTCTATAATACATGAATGCAAACTTATATGTAAAAAATATATTACAATGAATTTAATACAGCACTAAAACACCCGTGAGTTTGCATTGTCAGAAACATTGACATAAACATGTTTTTATGTAAACATTTTTAATGCAATCTCACATTCAACCAAACGTAAATGGAATGTTAGAAAATATGAACACACCACTGTCACAAACAAGTTGTCGCGATGAGTTCCCATTGTGGCATAACATTCACAATAATGTTGCCATCCTACTTACTTTGAATAAACAGAGATGAGTCAATTTACAACATATCAACAAAAGATGCGTTAAAGTATTCACATTTTAAATGAAAAAAAGATAATAAAAACTACATACATTTAGGAACAATTCTAAATACATTTTGTTGAAATGGTTAAAGAATTACAAAAAATTGTCTTTGTTGGAATACTTTCAAATAAACTTAACGTTTTCGCTATTAATTTTTATAAATAAATATATCAAACTAATTTATCGTAATAACCTATTTTTAATTATGCATTTTTATCGCATTATTTACTAAAGATTGCATACATTACAAAAAGCATCCATAAATACATAGTAAATTATTTAAATCTAGATTTATTTCAATGAAACAGTTTTCATAAATTCCTTTCACCAATAATGTTTTTTTTAAATAAATAATGTGAGGAAATCTAGCCTTTATTAACATTGATATGTTAAATCATTTTTGTATACTAATGACTTAGTGCCAGCCTAAGATTTTTGCCTAGTCATTTGTTCGAATTTTCACTCTACCCGACTAAAAATCCGAAAAAATTGAGTAAACCATTTATGATAATTTTTCGCATTACTGATATGTATATGATATGAAAGTATGGTCAAATATTTTGTCCAATTTTAAAATAGGTTTTAAGTCAACTGGATATCTTTTCAAATTCCGAGAAAATGTAATTAGTATGAACACTTAAATTATATTAACTTATTAGTATATTAATATAAGCTGAAATCATATTATTTCACTCTTGCATGCATTGTTAATCTTATTTTCTCGGGATTTTATCCAGATTAAAAATAACCTTTGAATCTTGTAACCCTAAAGAGTGTAAACTTATGTACTTTTTACTATGTACTTATTTTTCATACATGTGTATATACACTTTTAACAGACGTAAACTACAAAGTCTAGATATTTGACATTTTTAAATAGTAATTATTACAAAAACCTTTCATCAATTTTGATCTAATCTAAAACCATTTCAACATTTAAACATCTCATAACAAAACATAAGCAATCGTCCTTCAACTAATGTCAGATCTTGACGTCTACTGAGGTACTTCCTATCCCTTTTTCCAAAACCTATATTTTGTAAACATTGGATACATCTTAATTACGCTAAAAATTCTGAAATTCCCATACACTTTAATCCACATTTTAAAGCAGCATGTTTACAAAATGTAGGCGTTTATTTAGAAATATATTTACAATAAGAGATATAACCGAGCAGTTCATAGTTGTGCGTGCAGTGCGGGTGCGGGGCGTGCGGGGGGCGCGGCGCTGGGCGTGGCGGAGGGCGTGCCCGGCGTCTTCTGATTGGACAGCGGCGGCGTGGGCGGGTACACCTCCGCCACACTCTCTGTACATGTACTTTCTGTACTGCTTGTCTGTTCTGGGACCTCTGCTTCATTCTCCGTTAGTAATTGGTATACTTTGTCCTGTGAAAAAATGTGAATTGAAATTTGCGTTCCTTAATAACTCTAGTAAGTTAGGGTACTGTGTTTAAAATAAACTAACATCGTTAGACAATATTTTTTTTTACTTAGTCCAGTGGTCAGCTAAGCGCAACACTAGATCCGCATGTGGCTTCTTGTCTGCAGCTCTAACTTACTCAAATTATCCAAGGACATAGAATGTTCGCAATAATATATTAGGTATGAAAAAACTTAAAACGTAATAAATGTTAGCAGATTTGACTTCTAAATTTTTTTTCTTGTAATGCTTATTTTAGATTCTTTGGTCAATAAGTTTGCCAAGTACAGACTTAGACCCATGAAAATTATTTTTATTGGCATTTAAGCCAGTTTCGTAAGTGTTAAAGTGTACTGATGAGTATTCTAGGCAGTGTATACTAACAAACATGTCTAGCGTGACGTTGTGGTGCTGTATGCGGTGGCTCTCGTCGCGGTTGAGGCTGGGGCAGAGCAGCTGCAGGCCGGCGGCGCGCTGCACAAACTCGCCGTCGCCGCCGCGCACCACGCTGGCGCCGCCCGCCGCGCGCACCACCGACACGAACGGGCCCAGCCACGAGTAGCACGCTGCTAGCGACTCCCAGCTGTAGCCTGCACATAATACAGCTAATTAACGTATAAATCTTTAAAAAAAACTCAAGGGCTCCAGGAACAACATTAATTTCAATGTAAAGTGAAAACAATTTCGCGTTTCACCTGATCACTGTGAGGGCTAGAGGTCAAATTTGTCCCCTTTCTCTGGCCACCCCTTTTTATAAGGAAATCCGTTTCCTTCCGGGTATGAAAAAATTTGGTGCGGGAAGGAACGAATAGCAAAAGAAAAATATTCTCTTTGAGTCGTCATAATCTCCGTCAAATAAAAAGTAAGCTAAGCATCTGCGTTTGCTAATGTGTATTGTCACCTATGTTATTTGAAATACAAATGTCACAAAATCAAAAGACAAGATTAACGTACCCGACACCCTCATAGCGAGTTCCTTGTTGAAAGCGTGTGCCATCGCCGCGGCGGCCACCGTGCTGTAGGCGAACCTGTTGACGTCGACATGCAGCACGGCGAGGTCGACCAGCTGGCCGCACACCACAAACTCCAGCGAGGAGTACTGCGGGAACACGAAGGTATATCCGCGCAGCGCGTTCGCCGCGACATCGCTCTCGCCGATGAGCCGCCGCTTAGCGCCGCGCGCCTCGCTCGACACTTGCATGTACACGTTCAGCCACGCGTTGATGGTCAGCGGCGTGATGCTCCACGACAGCACCTTCAGGATCAGCAGCTCCTCCAGCAGGATCTCCTCCGTGGTGCACGCGCCGTCCGTCACGTACGCGAACTCGCTCACTTTAGGCGGGTACACCTCTTCCACTTTCGCCGCGATGAATAAACACGTTATACCTGGATGAGGTATAACATTACAAAAAAATCAACGTAACACAATTTTTAGAGAAGAGGCTTTTTACATAAATGATTAAAAATAAATATTATTATTGTAATATCATAAAGGTCATTAGAAAATCAAAAAACAATTGTATCAGTTGGGAGAAATTTCTTATAGTAGCATGGCGACAAAGTGAATGCGATAGCGCGCCTGTGTATCAGTGCGTGATATCGCTCGATAAATGTTAATGAAATAAACAAGACTCAATTCTATCTTTATAACAATCGATATGAGATACACTTGTATAGTTTAAACAATTAAAAATATACTTCATGGTATTTCAAAAACATCGACAAAAAGTATCTGATTAGATATCGAATGGTAGTTTGTCCTGTTCATTAATAGACTCTACTGTAGTGCTCAACTTTGCACCTTGTTTTGCTACGTACGCGAGCACTAAGAAAGAATTTCTAATTCATTCAATTACTTCCACTACATGGAATTGCGGAGTGCTAGCACATTGGAAATGATAATATATGTTTATATTTTACCTATTAGCTGGAGGCGACTCTTGGGCAAGTCATCGGTATGTGAGAGGTAGCGGTCGATGTAGTCCACCGTCAAGTGGAACGTCTCCCGGTGCAGTTTGTACACTTCGCATACCTGAAACATATACCTTGTTTTACTATTTACTTTAAACAATAATACTACTTATTGCTACGCTGTGTTCTAAAGCCGCGTTTCTACTGAACAACATTTGGCATGCGACATGTTGCACAACATGTTGAAAGTCGCACGAAAATTAACAACGTTGTCTGTCTACGCATCTACAAGTCACAAGTCGGCAACGCTGGTCGCCCACAGTTATCCAGCGTTACATGTACACGTACATGTTGCCTAGTGGAAACGCGGCGTTATGTTTATACTCCTTACACACCAGAACATCTACAATTTGCGAAGACTTCACTTTGTAAATTATGAATGTTTCTTTCACAAAGGTTTCACTTATTTTGGTAATAGGTATTTTGTCAATGGACTCGTAAATTGAGAACAATGAGTGGCATAGAGACTTAGCGAAAGTTATGTAAACTTAAAGACCACGTAAACAATACTTTAACATCGGTCAATACTAGCAGATAACAAATGCATAGAACTAAACATACGATTAAATAGATATATAGTTTCCTTCCTTATAAATGTTATATTAATCGGTTTTCATAATAATGTACTTTTGCGTATCCCTATAAAAGTATGAAACTAAGGATTTATTTTTTTCGAGATGTCTCCGATTTCGGAATCTAAATATCCGTAATTTAATGATAAAATTGTAGGCAATGTAAAGGATGTTTCATTTAAAATTAAAACGATTATAATTTGTTTTCATGTTAATTAACAGTATAGTATTAAAAAACAGTAATTTTAAGATTCCGAGTACGATTATCACATAGGTTCATTTTAATTTAGTATACACTAATTAAAATCTAATGGGATTACGAAGCGATAGCTGGGAGACGGTGCGACGATGCTCAGTGTGTCGATTAACGGGAACCCATTCTGTATCCTTTTTAAGGCTTTTCTTATCTTTACCAAAAATAGCGACAATAATGACCGATGTAATTGGTGTCGACAAATTCCATTCAAAAACGATATTTAATAACAAAAAAAGGATAAAACACTGAATTTCAGATAAAATTAAAGAAATGCATACAATTACAATACATTTTTTATCCATAGTAAGCAGTTTTTTTAATCAATTAAAGCTTCGTCTTGCAGTAAAATAGACCGAAACTTGCCCGAAAACATTGTTTCTGGTTCTCGAGTTTTGTGCAATACTACTTTAATTTAAGGTTTTATTACTTATACTTAACTAGCTTTCGACCGCGACTCCATCCGCATGGAATTATAATACAAAAGTGAGTAGCCAATGTGTTCTTCCAGACTATCCTCTACATCTATAGCAAATTTCATTGAAATCCCTTCAGCCGTTTAGGCAACGAACATCCATCCATCTAAAATTTTGCATAGTCAGGTGATACAAGACTTTTAAGGTGCGTGACACATACCACGGACCACGGTTGCGACGTCAAGCTCTACTCTACGTTTCTCGCCATCGCATCGGGGGCACAAAAGGTCTCATAGCGCATTCCATCTTATCTACCCTAACAATATAAAGGTTACCCGAGATAATGCTTTATTGGAATCTTATTAGAAGTAATTTAATCACAAGATATTCCAAGTGTCTTATAAAATTGACAAATGTAAATTTTAAAATAAATTTAGCACCTTCTTGACAATTACAATAATTTCTATAATACTATTTAATTGAACTAAGGATCAAAATATGAGTAAAATAGGAAATTGGTTCCAGAACGTGTAATTCTTGTCTCCGGTATATTTTTCATGTTATAAATAAAGGATTTAGTAAATTTTACATTGGACTTAATTATTTCTTCTTATATAAGACATAAAACGAGACGGATAGTTCGTTCACCTGATGGTAATTGATACGCCCTGCTCATAACAATGTGCTACGTGCTCTGCACGATTTTGAACAAAAAACTAATTCAAGAAGATACGAAAACGATGCTTTGATGCACATGTAGCGTCAAACACAACATCATACTAATATTATAAATGCGAAAGTTTAGATGGATGTTTGTTAGAGTTTGCTGCCTAAACAAGTGAACAGATCTTCATGAAATTTGGCATAGATGTAGAGTCTTTGGAAGAACACATACGTTACTTACTTTTTTTAAATTCCAAGCAGAAACAGTGGCGCAAAGATAGTCCTTTATTATGGTCAACACAACTAATTGGGTTAATAGTCACTACGAAGTGTAGCCCACTTGTTCACTAGTTTATCAGTAATTGAGGCACGCAGGTTTTACACTATTCATTTGACAATTTTATGGGATAAAATTTTCTAAGTTTCTCAAATTTTAAAACCAGATCTTAGATATTTCAATCATGATTGCGTATGTGGTATGTATTTCGTAATGCAATGGTAACGATACTATTAGAAGACTTAATGATAATAGGTTCCAAGTTATTAATAGATGACGCCAGTTTTTGAGCGAACTAGGATTCGCTATTTTAAAAATGTACCAACGCGGCGTACAAATTACAAATATAACCATAGGTATGTTCTTAAAACGATAATTTTGAGAATTTAGTATTAGTTGCTAAGGAATAGATAATTTTAATAATAAGGTTTTTTTATTTTGCAATAAACTAGCGCATGACCTCAATCTCGCCTACGTTAGTAGATTTGGTCAAAACATGCAAACTATAAGAATTGAAAAACTAACCAATCATCACGACTTCTTGTCGTCAAGCGGAAATTTATTAATTGTAAATCTAATGTGTTTTCAATTAAATGTCTCCTACGTGATCAAATTTAAATCAAAACAATAAGTAATAGTTTGTACGATTCGCAAAACTAACAACCTAAGTAAAATATCAATCAATCATACTCAGCTAGTCAGTTCCCGCCTTAAATAGTATATTTTTTAATGATAAGGATTATCTGAGTAGCATACCATTTCAGTATAATTCGACATTGGTTTTTAAATAACTATCTCCCGCGACTCCATTTGCTAGGGATTAAAAAACAATCAAGTAGCCTAACTCTTCGAATCCTTAATTTCTTACGTTAGAAATTAGAGGAATATAGGAAACACCTGCCAGCCACATTATGCCTGAAATATTAAGCTCCTTACATACGATAAAAACTGTATTGTTAAAATTGTTATACACTCATTTAGGAACTGAGCGTATGTAGCGGGCTTTAGTAATACGCTTAGTCTACAGGGCTGTATCTTCTCGCTGCGGTTTTCATTGCAGATATAATAACCACAGTATGAACACGAAATACTCTGGAATAGTTAATTGATAAATGTTTGAAGTCAGTTATAGATGTTACAGTTACCTATTCATGGTAAAGATACACAAAAAAAAACCATACGGTACCTATTACGTTATTCAGTTCATTTTTTACTACGTCAGTCGAAAGTGAGTTGTTGGAATTTATTTGAATCAATAAGGTGTTGTAAAATCTCGACGGTGGCGTACAAACTGGATGTTTTGTTAAATCTAGTACTCTAAAATCTTCCATACATTGACGGTCAGAGAAATAGCAAACTTCTAGGTATAGTTAGTTTTAATAATTTACTATTTAATATCGTAGGCTTGTAAAAACAGGTGAATATGAATTATTCGTCCTCATTATGTAATTTCGGAATTCGCTATATTTGATCAGTACGTAAAATGTTTAATTAACAGATTGAAGAATATGAAACTAAAGATTGCACCAAAAAGTTTAAAGGTTCAAGGTCTGATTACGACAGTACTCGAGTACGCTAAAACATCGATAACATGAGTTAGCTTAGATATTACTTAGGTATACTATAGCATGTCACTCATTACGTAAGCTACGCCTGTTAGTTTTCATTCACTAAGTATATACTAAGGGACACTAGTAGACAGGAAATTGGCAGCCAGTCTATCTAGTATGTACTCTGTTAAGACGGCAACATTTTTATTGTTACGAAAAGACAAATTATTATTAAAAATACCATTTTTTTCCGCGATATTTGTGGTATTGATAAAACAAAATGCAACTATGAAATTAGAAAAAGAATATAACAAAACGATAGATTAGAGTGCAAACGCGTTGGTTCTGAAGAGGTCAATGAACATTGCAAAAAAGAGGTCAATGCTCCCAATGTTACTTCATAGACCCAAAATACATGAAATACTCAATACTTACATTTCCTGTTTAAATGTAAGCAGCATGGAAATAAACAATTTGGGTATAAATATAATGATCATATTGTACAATTAGCAGTTACAGCAAAGTTATTACAACACCATTAAATTATCATATATTTTTTTTCTAAAAACAATACAAGACTGCTTACCTCATTCAGCCAGTCCAGTAATATAGCTCTCATCCTCAGTTGTAAGTTAGGATGATTGTCAAACATGTTAGGATTTCTCCTCATGCTGGATCTGGCATCTCCCTCACACATACTTTTCCACAGATCATTCTGGTCCGCCCAATACAGTCCAGGGAGGGGACATTTTCTTTTCGGTGGTGTGGGATATTGGTATTTACTTGTACTGCAATAAAGTAACTTGGATGAAGGATCTATTACATAAGACATAACATTAGTGTTTAAAGGATTCATCTATACCCAATAAGAAACATATACCCTGACTTACCTTGGCCTTTTGTTGGAGTGTGGTGTAGAGTCACCTCTGGCTACATTTTCTAAAGGACTCAAAACATAATTAGGAAGTTCAGGTATACTCGGTGGGCTTAAAAAGGTATCTGGGTTATAATCTACATCTGTGAACACACTCCTGGGCTGCTCATTGTTTTCAAAGTGTGATCCATCATCATCACTAGAGCATGATGAAGATTCAACAACAACATTGTGCGCTGGCAAGTCAATAAGCTCCTCTATTTTGGGTGATCTCTTGAGGGGTGGCATATTCTCCACCTCCTATAAAGGAAAACTTTTATATAGATTTCTATGGTTATGTATTCTTATTAGTGTAGGAATAACAAATAATTAATGCACTATACCTCATCGTCTGATGAATTTCTCTTCCTTTTGAAGCATGGCCTATTTATATGTCCTTCACTGGTGCTGCTACAAACATTATATCAAATGTAAACAAAGTCTACAAGGTACTTGTACTATCAATCTGGGAGCACATACATACCTAGTTTGAGCCATCGTAGAGGCGAAAAATCAGCTGGCACGGGATCCGTATGGCCTAAAATATGTTACTAGTTTAACAATTTATCAACAAAATAAAACATATTGCCAGAAAAACTACAGTAATAGCTTAAATTACCGCATGTCATGTCGAAACCGCAAAATAGGGTTATGTCAGTTGACAAATTTAATTGGAGACAAATTTTCATTTTTGTCTTCGTCATATAGAAATTCAGAGGTTTTAGAAGACTAACATTACAAAAAATATCGAAATAAAACACGTTAAGACAGCTATTTTAGCTTTCGAAAAGACAGCGTGCCCCCTGCTGGTTGGCGGGAGAATTTTTTTCAGAGTCATTTTAGAGCAATAATAAGCGAAAAATGTTATAGTTTCCTAGATTTATAATTAAGGGAATATACTAATTATGCATTTAAGTCATAAAATAATGAAAATATTGAAGTCAGCAGGTAAAATAAATGCCACGAATCCGTCACAATCGCGCGCGAAATCCTCCGTCACCGCCATTAGACACGTCGCAAGCTTGGGTTTCTCGCCCCATCCACTTTAGGAAATTGATATAAATAGCACATTTGCGATGCTATGTTAATGTCATATACATAAATTTCACAAATACTACATAAAACACCGAATTAAAGATTGTATTATAGGGATTGTCGATGACAGCATAATCGGCAAAGCTTATCGTCGACTGCTGGTTTATAACCTAATTATGTGTAGATTTGATATTTACTTATGGATTTATTCGTATAAAAAGATACTGTATATTCTAAGCAACATAAGTAGTCACTTAGTACATACCTGGTCATTCACAAATTGATGCAAATTCTATAGAACAAAAATTCCTTGTTAATGAGAAATTAGTTCTCAATTTAGATCACAATTTCACTAATTTTAACACTATATTTTATAGCTATGATATTACACGGATGATAAACGAATTGAAATATTACACTTAGGGTAATTTACTGCATTTACATGCTTCTTTTCAGCTTTCCACGGCTCGATTACGCCCGGCTTTCCGCGCGAAAATGTCGCGGTAAAACGTCTAGTCTCTCTGGGTGATTAAATGGCTAACTTCACGATTGTTTCTTCTGAAAACGTTCATCGTTATCAAATGTATTCCTTTACACGTATACATCACAAATATTTAGGAGAATTTATTACCTTTTTATTTTTTACGCTTAAAGTATGTTTTTTGTTTTAATTAGCAATGAAATTGTGTTGGCTTAGCAATTGTTAGGCGGTCACCTTGAATTATAGTACGTGAAATGAGATTGACTTTTAAATCGCGATTTAATTAGTTTATATACTAGTGCTTATCAAAAATTTCAATTGTAAAAATATTTCAATGAGACTAAGCACAAGAACCGTAACTTTACAATTTTTTTTACAGTCTTTCTGTCAAAATAAAATTATCAGTACGTGATACTGAACACGAAGTAAAAGTTATTTGCGACGCTGTGATTGGCCAAATTCATGCAGTGATGCCATAATTAGATGGCTTGATATCGGCATTTTCGTTTTTATGTTGGTTAAGCTTCGTTAACTACCTTCACGTTGCTGTACAGCTGGGCGACAGCTGATAGAAAACCTGCAAGAAAAGTCAATAAGACGCTATCTACGTTGATAACATATTTAATAGAATTCTTTGGATGTTTGTAATGAACAGGTGAAAATTCACCTAATATCATGTCGCAACAAAATCTTGCTGTTAAATTATGTGGTGTACTTCAATCTCAAAGTGAAGACGGTATGTCGACTATCATTTTATATCGTTACGTGTTATTATTAAATAATGGCTTAAATCACATAAGACCCTATATTTACAGAGGTAACAGCTCGAGAATGGCGTTTAATAGGGCAAGAGCAAGATGGCTCTCAAGTTTTTACTTGGGTGTCTATAAGAAATGACAAAGAAGTTATGAATATTGGTGTCTACACCAACAACACAAAAATTTTAACTACACTACATACTTTTGATGAGAAATTTAATATAATACAGGCTTCAGTCAATTCTACGCGCAGCTTGCTCATCTATGTTGTTAAAATCCTTCCTAAAGAAGGTGATGATATTCAGGAAGCCTTGTATTGCCCATATTTAATATCTCTGCTTCCTGATAAAACTAGCGAGCCTGAAGTAGTGGAAGAGGGTTCGACTAGACAAATTATGGTGCAGTATATATATGGAAAGAGCAAGAAATACAGCCCTGGCATCAGAAATGATAGATTCTTACTCTTCAAGCATTTGGAATGTAAGTGCTTTAATTGACGTTTTTCATTACAATAATAAAGTAGAAAAATTAGAGTTTTTTGTAACTTAAATTAACAAATCTGTCTTATTAGAATGGTCATTATGCTTAATGTTATATAGTAACTATTGATGCTTTAAGTAATGTATTAAAATGATATCAGCAATCATTAAAATATTACAGTTTTGAAGTTGGATTTATTAAATAATTTAATTTTAATTATGTTATCTATTGTCTCCACTCTACAATTCTCTTTACCCTATCATTGTCTTTTTCTCTCTCACTTCAAGTAGAGTATAATATACATATTTTAAAACTGTTTATAAATTTTCTCATAGTGTTATATTTCTTGTTAAAATGTTTTTTGTTTTTCCATCAGGCATCAAAATATACAGAACACCAATGTTTCTTAATGAATGTGACGATGGCAGTGAGAAGTGGGGCTTTGATGGCATCTACCCTGAGCCAGAGACTATTGTAAATGTGTTCTCATGGGCACAATGGGATTGTGTCAACCAAGTGAGTAACCTTTGGATTATAACAAATTATTCCTTAATAAAAAATACTATAAACTAAATTATGCCCTTGCTTTTCTTATTTGAAATATATTAAACACATCTGCAGTTTCCATGTTAATACAAAGTGTCTAATTTCACTTTTTATTACTTTAACTTATCCATTAAAGTTCCAGTAGTTTTAAGCCGTTTGGTGAACCCAAATAACATAAATAAATAAAAAAAATGCAATGACTATGTGAGCAAGTAGGCAATGAACTGCTCAAAATGGTTGAGATATAGTACTATTGTGAAAACAAGGTTTATAACCTAACTAATATATGATGTCTGCTAGGTGTTGTTCTACATCCACTACCGTCAGCCGCAGCAGAGTTTTGCAGAGGGGGAGGAGGTGAAGTCCCCTTCAGAGTTGACGCCTACACTCTCCGCGCTGCAGTTCCACGCCGATCTGCCTCATGAGACTGTGGTATGCTATTGTTTATTTAAATTGAAATTTCGTATCTGCCTACCCATAAGGTTTACGCTGGCGAGTTGTTTCTGTTGTCAATACTATATTATTTTCAAGTAATGGATCCATAGAAAGTGGCTTCTATTATTAATTTTAGGATTACACTACAAGTGGTTAGGCTAAAGATTAAAAAAAAGCAAAAACACAACTAAGTGCTAATTTCATAGGACGCAAGTTGGTTTGTCTTTTTTATTTTTTGCTAAGCCTTGCTTATTGTTATAGTTACTTTAATTTCATATTTTAATGTTTACCTTTTTTACCCAGTAAAGTTTATTTTACGTCTTTATTGATTAATTTGTTTTAATAGTTGGTTGGACTCTCTTATTGTATTTGCGCAGATGTTATACCTCGCCTTTTTCTGACGTATCTTTAAACATAATTTAGAGCATATTTTGAATGGATAGAGTTTGATTACGTAAAAATACCTAAATGAAGATAGTTATACTTATCGAAAAATATAAAATTAATGTCCTATCAAGATATTCTTATTTTTAAGAAGCTACGAATCGTCATCTTCTTACTAATATGGATCATCCACTCCTTATGCTACTTCTATTGGGTCGGCGCACCAAGTTTCCACCTTCAGGTTAATCATCTCCGACGTCACTTCGTTCTTGATAATGTCTCCTTTCACTCACGCAATCTATCCATCTCTTTCTATGTGTACTTGTACCGGTGTCACAATATAAGAAGCGTCGAGTGTTTTTTCAATAATTGAAGCTAGATTATTACTGATAGAAAACTTATAACGTTTCATCGATAGCTCTCTTTGTGTGCCTAGCTGAACATCCCGCTGAGCTTGCCGCAGGGGGCGGGGGCAGGTGTGGGCGGGGCGGCGGGCGCGGCGTGCGGCTCGTACGAGGACGACGCGGTGCCGCTGCGCGTACACGACTGCGGTCTCGACCTGCACATCGTATGCGACGCGCGCGGCCTGCTCTGCGTCTGCCATCACTACCTTTATAAGGTAAATTATAATTATAAAGATTTTTTACAGCATCAATATTTGGCTTTATAGCTTAGTTATTCAATGAAAATAATTACAATGTGTATTTGTTGTGTGGGATTACTCATATATTTTTAATGGCATAAGTACAAAGAAATTTAAGATAGGGAACAACATTTTTTCACCGGTAACTTCTTTTTATGGTAATATCTCAGTGTCCAAGCTACGCCGAGACGTATCTTAGTGTTTGAATTATTTGTTTGCTTGGGATTTTGACTATCGTAAATCAGGTAGCGCTAGTGAGATTATTTGAAAAATATTTTAAGTTAAGTGTCAACTATGCTTTCTCCATATATTTTTTGAATCTCTTTGCTTAAGTACAAGAAAAGATTTCATAACATAGCCAGTGTATTTCTACCTTTAGCCGCTCGACGATTCGACGACATCCTTGGTGTTGGAGGACAGCGCGGAGCTGAAGGAGGGCGGCGTGAACTTCGCGTACTCGGTGACGCTACTGCACCACGGCTGCGTGGTGCACAGCGTGCTGCCCGACCTGCCCTGGAACCTCGCCAAGTCGCTGCGACCCTCATACACACTCTACCAAGGTTACTTTATATCTTTAAGTATTGTAAATACTACTTGATTTGGTCGTTAATACGTGCAGTTGTACCAGCTACCAGCTCGTGTGTGACAGATAATCATCTCCTCGTGCACATCCCGATGTTGTTCACCCACTTGATCGACGTGAGCCTACATCACGAGCCTTGCGCCCACATCGTGATCCCGGTGGAGGCGAGCGAGAGTGGGCCCAGCCTCGCGCCGCTGCTGGGCTGGGGCGCCCACGCCATGGTCGACATGAACACCCTCGACGTGGTCGCCATGCACGTGGCGGAGAAAGACCTCGCCACAACGTTTAAGACCACGCCCCTCGAGAATAAGCTGGCCATCATACATTACTTGATACAGCACGAGGGGAATCTGGATTTGGCCGAAGAGGTAATGTTACGTAATTTACAGCTTACACAAATGAGATAAGAATGGGATTTTCTAAAAAAATACCGTTAAAAATTGTATGTTGTATAATTTATTTTCAAAGGATTTTGGAGTAGGTAACGTTAGGTTGTTGTTGCAGTTGATGTCGTGGGTGTGCGTGAACCAGGGGGCGGGTCTGTCGGGGGCGGGGG